CCAGGTTCTGTTGCTGAGATGATCCTTGTTGTTCTGCTGGCTGGTTTGCTTATAATACATTTATTTATTCATTTTTGGGATGTGGGCGTCGCTGGCTGGGCCAGCATTTATTGCTCTTCTCTAGTTGCCCTTGAGAAGGTGGTGAGCTGCCTTCTTGAACTGCTGCAGTCCACTTGCTGTGGGTTGACCCACAATGCTATTGGGGGATTTCCATCTCCGACTTGCCAGTTAAAGTCATAGTTTACAACAACTGTGCAGGAAAGATAAACTGGTTTTCTTCAGATTTACAGAGTGTTTGACTGCAGAGAGCAGAAAGTCTGATCCCGAGCTGGGGAAGACTTGAAAAGCTTTCTGTCTTTAGCTTGTTCCCAGCTCCAAGCTGCTGAGTTACCTGGGAACCAGCACACATTTATTGGCAGGCAAAAGGTCACTGTTGTTGATAACTGGTCACTAGTCCAAAAACAAATCAACTTCTTGCTGCCAATCGGAGCTGTATCTTTACACCTCCTCAGCTCTGAATCATCTGCAGCTCACCCTTTGATTACTGTCCATTCAAACAGTTGTTTAAAAGATGCTTGCCATAGGTGTCAGGTTACTTGATTTTCAAAATTGCAGCTCCCTTTCAGACACTGTTTTTAAAACAGCTAACTCTTTTCTGTTCACAGCTTTTTATAAACATAAACTACAAAGACACCGTGCTTCCATTATCAGTCAAATTTCAGTGAGTTGTGTTAACAGTAGGTTATGTAAGGGTGTTTCTTGGATTGTGAAAGATAGAGGGCAGTGTGGAGTATCCTTTCTTACAGCAGGAACTGCTCAAATGATTGCAAACAGTCCCAGACTAACCCCCAGCACGCACTACTTCTGTAAACTAGGTACCTCCCTCTGTCAGAACTTGGGCAAAGTACCATTAAAGTAATGTCATCTGTGGAGCAAACGGCAGTGGGTAGTTAAAGGAAGAAAGAGTAAGCAAACTGCAATTTTAAAATGTAATGGGCTACATTGATTAGAGTAAAACAGCCCTTTTTTTTATTTTCTCCTGCTTACAGTTATCCCCAGAAAACGTATATGAGGTGCTATGTGTTGCTGACATGTATCTTCTGCCAGGCTTGAAGAGGTTGTGTGGAAAGACCCTTGCAACAATGCTGACTGAGGACAGCGTAGTCAACATTTGGAAGACCGCAAAGCTCTTCAGGCTTTCCCGACTTGAAGACCAGTGCACAGAATATATGGCTAAAATCATAGAAAAGGTGATATTTTGTTTTGGACTAGTAATGTCACGTGTGATACCTAATATTACATATTCCCAGGAGGTGCAGACAAGCACCTGCTGATCCAAACTAATCAGAGTAACTCTCACGATGGGGCCCACTAGAAACAAACGTGGGAAATGAAAGGATAGAGAAACTGACATTGTGAGAATGAATAATGTCTTTTAGAGTTACCAAACATGTTTAAACAAAGCTGGTTATAAACAAAGCTTCACTTAAATACCAGTTTTTTTTTAAGTTGATTTATAAAGTTGAAGTGTAAAGTGCTGGTCAGACGCCAACTATATTGGATGGCCAGAACAGTGGAAAGTTCTGATTTGATTTTTGATTCATTTTCTCAGTTGTTGATCAATCATGTAAACTGTCTCTTTGAATTTTGTTTTGATGCCTAGCCTGGGAAAATTTGGTGAAAGTTTCTATAAATCTTAAGTGTTGTGTTCTTTCAGAAGTTTATGATGTAGCAACAGTCTGATTTGTGACAGAAAGAGATAGAGAAATACTGTGTTAATTAATTTGGCAGTCTTGCTTTGCCTATTAGGGAAGGTTAAAAGGTGTATCCAAATGAATTTGACCATTTGGTCCAATTTGTCCCAATCTTACCCCATCACCTTTCCCGGTCTCAATTGTCTTTCCTATTCTGTTTGTTATTGCCACCTTTGTGTGTTGTAAATTGGTCCTTAGTCCTGAACCTGAGATCTTTTGTTAATCTGCTGTCTTGATATCTGCAAATGTATTACACATGTAATTGCTCTGCCCTATCACGCTTCCGTGATGTGAAGCCAGTTTGGTTTTCTGATTGTTGATATCAACTAAATCGATATGGAGCTGCAAACCTTGGATTGGCCCAGTGCAGCACCAGTTTACCTTTCCCATTCTTGGAGAGGCTGGGAATGTAGGTCTGCAATCATAACCTCTGCCACATAACCTCTGCCACATATTGAACCATCTCAAGCTTGATACTGCTTCATAATGAAGGTTAATACATTTTGCATTAGTATTCGGTGAAAGAACAGTATTAATTGAGCCATTGGAGGAGCTAATGTGCCTTCTCGGCAAATATGCCTGGATCAATGGGAAAAAAAAAGCCTTTAGCTCAAAAAAAAAACCGCAGGCATTCGACAATCTATGCATGATTACATAAATCATGGCTCAAGACACAAGAACTCAACAGGGTACTGATTCAGTTCCATTGTAAAATTGCCAACTGACCCATAATGAGCTACTTTGTCTTGTCATCTGTTTCATTCATGCATTTCTGGCCCTGTTGTTTAATGCTTACAACTTTATTGCTATAAGGGCCCCAAACCAAACTCTTGCCTGGCCCATCAAAAGGCAGATATATTACTGGCTATTTATATAGCAAAAGAGCAGATCTTCTTCTAATCTCTAACTTTGTTTGAGGTTTATGAACTTTGCAGTTATCTCCTCTTGTTCTATGCTCACTCCTCAATACTGTGTTCATTATGCTTATCATTACGAGGCCTGTGTCTCTTCGGAAACTGAGGCTAGTTACAGTGACTGGGTTATTGTATGTTCAGTCTTCATTATGGTCTGGCACAGCATCAGCTAGTTAACTGAATGGGTATATTGCACTTGCTTGGCACGAACATTGCATTTATAAAGTCTTATTCCAATTACTGAGTTTGCTTGTTAAAGACATTATTGCAATAGCTGGAAATTATTTACTGACAGAACATGCCATGCAAATAAAATATCCTTTTTAAATGAAAATTATGCTTATTTGAGGGTTGTTTAGATCTGGAATAGAAATGTCTCTCACCGCAAATCACGCAGTTACTTGCCTAACACCTTATAACCTTTCAATCTGATTAACTGTCAAATAGACTGACTGAAAATTTCCAGCTGTGCCTTACATTGCACAGAACTGAAACTATTAACCATTTGGGTTCAAAGTATAAATTATAAAGACCTACATTTTTTTTAACATCAATTGCATCTCCCAGCAAAGGCTGAAAGATTTTAAAACAAATAAAAGTGAAGTACTCAGGTGCAGGAGACCTAAAATAAAAGCTGAAAATGCTGGAGGAACTCTGCGGGTCTGACCATATCTGTGGAGAGAACAAAACAGTTATCATTTTGAGTCTGATATGACTTGGTAACTGTTCAAACAATTTGAACTGAAATTTGTTACTCTCTCCACAGATGCTGTCAGACACCTGAGTTTCTCCAGCATTTACTGCTCAAATAAATTAAGATTGACAGGATTTTTGTTAGGACATTAGATTCACCAGAACTCCACTGTTCTTTGAATAGTGGTGTGGTGATTTTCTACATCCACCTGACAGAGCGAGAGCATGCTCAGTTTAATGTCTCACCTCTATTAGTGCAGTGCTTAATCAATACCAAACTAGAAGTATCAGCCTGGATGTACTCAAGACTGGAGTGGGACATGAATTTGGAGATGAGAGTATTGCCTCACCGAGCTCAGAGCTCAACAGTGATGGTGCGAGGAAGAACATTTACAGATGTGCAAAATTTGCAAATGTGTGTTGGCCTAAATGTATATTTGCTTTCAACTGACAGTCATTCATCATTCTGCCGTTCACACCTCATCTGAACCCATCTTTTATTTCTTTACTTGTCCCACTATGTCACACCCCTCCCATCCAGCCCCCATCAATTTTGCCATTCATACACCTACCCTTTTATTCTTTTCTTACCCTCTCCCATTTCACTAAGAAAAGCTATTGCATCTCTAATGTTAACTCCTGTTCCTCTCTCCACAAATGCTATCAGACCTGCTGAGTATTTTCAATATTGTTTTTACTTAGGAAGATTTGCATCTGTTTTAATCACCTTCTGTTTTTCTGGTCCTGTTGTAGCTCGTGGAGTTGGAAGAGTTTGCTGAACTGGTAAAAGAGGATGCTGCAGCTGTTGAGGCCCGACAGGAGACTGACTCCATTCCTCTGGTCGATGATATACGTTTCCATGTCACCAGCAATGTGCAGACGTATAGTGCCATCGAGGAAGCTAACCAGAAACTGAAAGCTCTGGAAGAACTTTTGGCTAGATTGGAACTCGAGTGTTAAGAGGATAATCGCTTTTCCATTGTGACTAGTTGCATAGATCATGTTGGAGAGCAGTCCTGGGAAGAATGACCTTTGCCCAGGCAGTATGGTTACTTTCTTGTGAACTTGACTGCATCTTAATGCGATAAGAATGAAGGGCATTTATTCAAGAGACAGTGTCCCATTTTGTTGGCCTGCTCTGAATGAAGGTTTAAAGCAATAAGGTGGAGCTCATGCAAGTGCTGTCCATCCCTCTGACATAGTGCTTATTCCTTAGCAGTTCTTATTCTTCCTATCTCTATATGTGGATCCATTCAGGCAAATTCTGGTTTCAAGGCTGGTACCTTAACTGGCTACAGACTAGTCAGATAGCACAGAAAGAAACCCCTGAAACCCTGCTAAAATGTCGCCATGGTGGAATCCAAGTTCCTGGTAATATGAAACAAAAATCTTAAGTATTGTTTTAATGGAGAATGCTGAGTACTGTCAGCATTTCTGTTGATAGTTGGAAGAGAAAGAGTTGGGCTGAACATCTTGTAGGCTGTCACCTGTCAACATCCAATCTGCTGAAGGTATGCAAAAATTTTCTGATGTTTTTTCAAACTCTGATTCTAGCCCGCTGCTTTTTTTTTTAAAAACTTCCAAGGAGATGTGCTTTTCAAAGGAAGTACCAGCCTGTCTCAGGACTATCGGCCAATGGGCAGACTCAGAGCTGTGTCTAATACTGGGATACCACGTGGATAATCGTTTTCTGCTGTCATAGATCGTGTGGGATTCACATGTCTAGAATCAGGGTTACTATACATTAAAATGCCTAAAGAAGTGGCAAACCTTATAATCTGCAGGTAGACTCTTGCAATTTAACTAATAAAGGTGAAAGGGCTAGATGTGGGAGGGTTTCTTGTCCCAACTTTTCTCTAAGAACCATGCTCCGTCTTGCTCTGAATTGATTTTGCACTTATACTGATTGATATAATCTCTTGATAAATGAAGTTTCAATCATGTGCTCTGCCACAGATTCTTTGCTGTCGTCTGCATAGGGCGAGGAATAATCCATTTGAGCGTATTCTGCCAGTTTGTAGTCAGGGCAGCTGTATCCTTTTATTTCTTACTGTTCCTTATAATACTCTTGCTTTCCAAATAAGTACCTGCCTCCCTTTTGAATGTAAGAAAAAGACTGCACATGCTAGAAATCTGAAACAAGCACAGAGAAACTCAGCTGGTCTGGCAGCATCTGTGAAGAAAGAAACAAAAGTTATTCTGAACATGAAATGTTAACTCTGTTTGTCACTCCTCACATGCTGCCAGACCCGAGTTTCTCCAGTATTCTCTGTGTTTGTTTCCCATTTAAAATGCATCTGCACTTTTCATTTTTTCGACTGTGGATCCCATGTTCTCACCACATCTTTGTGTGAGAGCCTTTTCTGGACCAGTCCCAGTAAAATCATAGTTTCCATTCTGATGTCCCAACTAATTTCAGGTGACTCCCTTCCTGTCCACTGCCTGGCCTACCATGATGAGGCTGACTCCTTCTAGGCACCCACGGCCTTCCTGCTTTGCTTCTGTTCCTTTGTGTACAAATCTGTTTTCGTCATCACTACCCCAATTTCAAACCACTAACAGTGGTTGAACCTCTGACTATACTGCAGGGACCAAGAGCAGCTGCAGTTGATTCCCTCCCTGGTGAAACCACTAAGAGAATAAGCTGCAGAGGATCCAGTTCTGGTCTGTTTAGATTCCATTCTAAGTGGGCTTTCAAAATGTGAAACTGTGTCTTTTTTTTAGAAACTTATTGCAGTGCAGTTTAATTTTAGTTTGTTTCACAAAATGTGAATTCATACTTAACCAGAGGTTAATTGCTGTAAGATTGTTATTTGTTATCACAAAACAGCTAGAGAGAATATCACTATTTTATCTAATTTAATGTATTTATGCATATATAATTATTATATATGCATTATGTGCATTTAAAACTATTTTGGCCCATCTGGTAGCAGACGCATACGGAGCTCCTGGAAATATCAGAATGACTCCTTCAGTGTATCGATAACAGATTACATATCAAGGCATTTGTTGCACTTTTATTTAATTATTCAGCACTTCCTTCAGGTTCACTTCAGTGCAGATTTGTTACATATGTGGTATAATTCAAGCAATGAAATTCAAAGATAAGCCAGGATAGCTTCACATTTAAAATGTAGTGTGATCTGCTTTCCATGCAAATGAATGTTATAAACCCAGTTATTTATAAATCTCAATATGTTGTTACCAGCATGAACTGTGAAGTATGTGTTCCTCGATGAAAAAACTGTTTTCCTCGTTGGGTGCTATTTGCTGATCATTTAATGCAGTTTGAAAGGACCAAGTGATACAATGGGATATAGTCCTGTTGACTGTAAAAGGCTTGTGTAAAATTGGTTTGGGACGGCATGGGGCTGACTTGGTGGCTCAGTGGTTAGCAATGCTGCTTCTCAGCATCAGGGATCTGTGTTTGATTCAAGCCTCGAGCTACTGTCTTTGGAGTTTGCACATTCTCCTTTTGTCTGGGTACTCTGGTTTCCTCCCACAGTCCAAAGATGTGCAGGTTAGGTGGATTGGCTGTGCTAAATTGCCCATAGTATCCAGAGATGTGCAGGCTAGGGGGATTAGCCATGGGGAATGCAAGTTCACAGGGATGGGGTGGGATCTGGGTGGGGTGCCCTTAGGAAAGTCAGTGTGGGCTTGATGGGTTGAATGGCATGCTTCCGCACTAGGGGGATTCTATGACCACATTGTGTATTCTAATTCAAGCAGTGGGCACTTTGGCGCTAAATTGGCTATGTCCGATCACTCTCATGTTTCAACTCCTGTGTTGGTTGAAATTTTCTTTGCAAACTCCATGGTTTTAGATGGACTGATTGGTGATCGGGGTGAGAGGGTAAAGATTCTATGATTTTTAGGCATATATTCAGTATACTGGAATCAATACACTAAGGAAGTCACACTTCTACAAATATGCTCCTGTGCTGTGGCAAAATATGACACTTGTGTGATGTTTTTAATTCATCACCTTAAATTGAGCCCACCTGCGACCAACAGTATGTTTATGCCAGTGTTCTGCAGCTCCAGAAACTCATCAGACGCAACCCAGAGCCAGAATCTATAATGGTCCTCCTGGGTGGTTTAACACACAGTCTGAAGTTACAATCACCTTGTGTGGGTTGGGGGTTGGGGGTTGGGGTGGGGTGGGGAATTATCTTTCATGTTTAACCTGTTCCTCCATCTTCCATCTTACTGTTATGGTTTGTTTTGAAGTCCGTAGCTTTCCTGAGAAGGTGATGGTGAGCCGTCCTTGTGAATCAGTGCTAGGTTTTGGCTCAACTATGAGACTTGCTAGACCAGCTCCAGAAAGCAACCCAGAATCCAGCACGTTGCGAAAATGCAGTCACATATATCGGCCATTCGTGGTACGGATAAAAAGTTTCTTTCTGTCAAGGAATTTGTTTATATGAACTTGCATTACCATTGTTGTTATTTTTGACAATACCACTTTTTAAAATCCCATAAGGCATAGGAGCAGAAGTAGGCTATTTGTCCATTGAGTTTCCTCCAGTATTCAATGACTTCGTAGAGTATTGGCTAATCTGATAAACTGAATCATTCCCAAACTATAGTGGTGGGATTTGATTTTATGTTCTGCGTTACTAATCTAGTAAATATCATCACTGCACCAGTGCACCTCCCTACAATGTAATGTTTTGAGCTCAGTCAATGGCAATGCCATCGCTGAATTGTCCACTGTCAACATTGACCAAGACTGAACTGGGTCAAGCATGTAAATACTGTGGCTACAGGAATAGGTCAGAGGTTAGGAATTCTGCTGCAAGTAACTCACCCCCTGCCTTCTCAAAGCCTCCTTCTTATTTACAGGGCACATGATGGAATACTGTCCACTTGCCTGGATGAGTGCAGCTCCAACAACAATCAACATTGAAAAACCAGTCTGATTGGTACCCCATCTTACACGTTCAACATTTGCTCCCTTCACTGCTGATATTCACTGGCAGCAGTGTCTATCTGAGAGTTGCAGTTCCACAACCTACTCAGGCTCCTGGCTCAGCACCATATAAACCTGTGATCTCTATCCCTAAAAGAACCAGGACAGCACACAGGTGGGAACACCATCAGCTGTAAGTTTCTCTCCAAGTCAGACACCATGCTGACTTGGGAACTGTATCTGCATTCCTTCACCGTTGCTGGGACAAAATCCTGGAAACCTCTTCCGAACAGCGCTCTGGGTGTCTTTACACCACATAGACTGCAATGGTTCAAGAAGACAGCTCACCATCAACACCTTGAGTAATTAGGGATGAGCGACAAATGCTGGAGAAGCAAGCGATGCCCATATTCTGTGAATAAATAAAAAACTTTATTTATGTTCCTGTGTGCTGTTGCCTGCATGCAGTTTGTTTCTGGATCAAGAAACTGCTTTATTGATCAGAAAGTCTTTGATACTGCTTTAATGGAATGTGAAGCATAATGTATTTCCTTGCAGGTTTTAGCAGGTAATTGTCGCTCCGTAGACTGGAGTCACCAAAATGCTGGTTCGCCTCGAACAGTATTGGCACAAATTCAGACAGGAGCAGTCAGTATGAGAGCAAAGGCTCAGGCTGGGGTAGGCGAGATCAAAAATCATATGCACCATAGGAAGTATGCTAATTGGCCTTTCCTGTTCCCGTCACATTTCTTCCGTGATTCAACAATCCTATGCTGATCATCTACCTCAGTGTAATTTTCCTGCACTGTCCTGTTATCCGTTGATATCTTTAAACAAAAAAACTGGTTGTTGGAAATCAGAAACAAAAACAGAATATTGCTGGAAAGGTTCAACAGGTCTGGCAGCATCTGTTGAGAGAAAGCAGAGGTAGCGTTTCTGGTTCAGTGACTTTTCAGAACGGAGTTCTTCAGTTCTGAAGGGTCACTGAACTCAAAGCATTAACTGTTTCTGTTTTTCCCGCAATTTCTGATTTTGCATGTGGCCTTGATATCTTTAATGTTTAGAACATATTGGATCGAACCTCCGCAGCCCTGTAGTGTTGAGAATTCCAAAAATTCACCAGTTAAGAAATTCCTCTTTATCTTAAATAGCTAATGAGTGCACCATCAATTTTTAATAAATTTCATACATTGTCAGAACTTTTAACGTGTCACAATTTAAGCTCTAATTCAACACACATTTTTAAAAAAACCTTAGTTAACTGTACTGCCTCTTCACTTCTCTCTGTCTTCCTCAAAGCTCCTTCGAAACCCCACTTTTTCTGCTAAATTTCTGATCAATTCTCCTTGCCCATCTCAGCTCAGTGTGTATTAGTATTTTTTCCACTTAACTTTGTGAAGGAAGTTGGGATATTTTCTTTGTATTCACATAACATAATGCAGAAGTTTGTTAAAGTTGCTATCACATTTGCTAAAGTAAAACCTGTAGGACGCTAGTATCCATTGCAGATCTAATAAAGATGTTTTGGATGACTTCTTCAGGCCCAAACATGCCAGGACATTTTCCTGCATTGCAGTGAGTGTGAGATCATTAGCGAGGAAGATAACATAGGTATTTCAGGAGGGCATAAAAAAAATACAGATTAGCATTTCTGATCAATATTCAGTGATTCCTACTGCAAGTTATAGCTGTGCGCATGGAATAGCAGCATAAGGGCAGAAAACTAAAATGAAGAACCTATTATTTAGGCTACCAATCTATAGTAACATTTTTTAAAAAACTTGTAAAATATCCTAAAGCATCTTAGAACTAACCAAATGCAGTTTGAAGTGTAGTCACTTGTAGGGAGTGCAGTAATAATTTGTACATAGCAAGATCCCACAAGCAGGAATGTTATAATGACTAGATAATCATTTTTGTAATGTTGATGAAGAGATAAATATTGGCCAGCACACCAAGAATGCCTCTGCTGTTCTGCTTTTAAAGATCTCATGCTACTGTTTTTACATTGACTGAACTGCTTCATGTCCTCCAAAACACAGCACTTTCAGCAGTCCAGAATTAGTTCTGCACTGCAGCATTAGCCTAGATTTCTTTTAAATATAACCAAATGCTGATGATACTGAGAACCTGAAATAGAAGTGAACAGTGCTGGAGAAACTCAGCAGATCTGACAGTATCTGTGGAGAGAGGAAAACAAATTCAACGTTTTGAGTCTGCGATGATTCTTCAGTTTTCCAGAAGTTGTATCAGACTCCCTCTTAATTTTGTTTATCTTGCTGCAGATGTTGCCAGACATACTGGGTTCCTCCAGCACTTTATGCTTTTAGATTTTTAAAATTATTTGTTCAAAGGCATATGGGCACCTCTTGTTGGGTCAGCATTTCTAGTCCATCCCTAACTGCCCTGGAAAAGGTGGTGGGGAGCTGCCATCCTGAACCTCTGCAGTGCGTGGAGTGTAGGAACACCCACAGAACTGTTAGGGAGTGAGTTCCAAAGTTTTGACCCAGTGATTGTGAAGGAAAGGTGATTATCGTTCCAAGTCAGGATGGTTTGTGGTCAAGGCCATAATAAGACTGTATGAAATAGGAACAGGAGTAGGCAGTTTGGCCCTTCAAGCCTGTTCCACTATTCAATGGGATCATGGCTAATTGACATTCCTCACATCCAATTTCCTGCATTGTCCCTGTAACCGTTGATTCCCTGACTGATTAAGAATCTATCACAGCCTTCAATATACACGAGGACTCTGCCCCCACAGATCTCTGTAGCAAGGAGTTCCAAAGACACTCAACCCTCTGAAAGAAAAGATTCCTCCTTATCTCAGTCTTAAAGTAGCAACCCTTTATTCTGAGACCTTTACTCTGGTCCTAGTCTCTCCCATGAGGGGAAACAACCTCTCAGCGTTTACCCTGCCAAGCGTCTTAAGAATCCTCCAACTTTCAATGAGATCACCTCTTTAGCGAATGGGGTCCCAATCTGTTAGCCTTTGCTCATAAGACAATCCCTCCATACCAGAGATCATTCTAATGAATCAACTCTGAACTACCTCCAATGAAATAATCTTCCCTTAAATAAGGGGACTGTAACTGCTCAACAGTGATTGTGGTCTCACTAGCACCTTGTACCATTGCAGTAAAACTTCCCTATTATACTCCAACCCCCAATAGCCTTCCTGATTACCTGCTTCACCTGGGTGCTAACTTTCTGTATTTTGTGCACCTGTTTACCCCACCATGTCCCTTTGTGTTGCAGTTTTACTTCATTTAAATAATACACTGAAGGCATGGAGACGAACTTGCAAGTGGTGGTGTTCCTGTGCATACCGTTCTAGGTAGAAGGACAAGATTGTCGTGCTCAAGATTTGAACCCACAATCAACTGACTGATAGCTGAGAATGCTACCAATTGAGCCAAGTTGACTCCCTGAAGGAGTGTAGAGATTAAGGATAGGTAATCAATAGCTTGGTCAAACAAGTAGGTTTTAAGGAGCTACTTATGGAGAAGGTAGATTTATTGAGGAATTGGCAGAGTTTGGCCACTGATGTCAGCAAAGTCGCTACTTAATACTCCCAATGGCTAGAGGGAGTAGATAGGAATCAGGAGATTATGTCATAATCAAGTCAGCCATGAGCCTATTGAATGGCAGAACCAATTTGAAGGACTGAATGGCCTCCTGCTCCTAATTATAGAATAGAATATCCTTTACTGTCATGTGTACTCCAGTACAGAAGCACAGTGAAAGGTTTTTACAATGGCTGCCTTCTTGTGTCATCTTGGTATAAGTACCTAGGTACAAATCTTGGAAACAAAAAAGAAATAAAAGGAAAAGCAGTAGCATTACTTAGTGTCTAAAAATAGGTTAGGAATAAGATAGTTGTAACACAGTTAAAGGATTGACTTTACAGTCCAGCAAAGAATGTCAAATAGCAGTAGCTCAGCACATGGTCTGACTGCCAATGCCACGCCCCAGTCCAACAATTGTCCCGCTCCACTCCAAGCCTCCAATCCGTTCCGCATTGGAACTCAGCTGCACCGAGATAAGTTGCATTGCACCGGGACTCGGGTTTCCCCACCCGCTGCATCAGGAAATCGGGTTTGCCCCTCGCACTGCTCCAGGCCTACTAAAACGAGAGATAAAAAAGAAAACAAACAAAAAGGGCAGGTCGGGGAAAGGAGCTCCGGGTGGAGCATCCTACTCTGCCTCCATCCTGCCGGAAATAAACCATTGAGTGAGCAACTGACAATAGAAGAACTGTGGAGACTTCAGATCAAGAGGGGAAGTAAACAGTGTGGTTAGCATTTGGAATGAAATGCTTGAGAGTGGACGCTGCTACATTCTTAGGAAGGAGAGCTGGATAATGATCTGATTATAAAATGGTTGCAGGCCTATGGGGAAAATGCAGACGAATGGGATCACAATTGAAGTTTGCAGAGAAACAGCATGGACTCAATGTGCTGAATGGCCTGCGCTGAAATCATTTCGTGATTTTATTTATATGTGTGTTTGGATTTGTGTATCTGAACATGTGTATACTGCATGGTCATGCATGTTTGTTTATGGGTTTGTGCACACGTCCAAGCTTTGCAATTTTAAAATTTTCTATAGACCCACCCCATCTCATTTCTCTATATCATGGTCCCACCCAAATGGATGCTGAATAATTTAATTTCTTACTCCCAGTGGTCAATGTGGGGTGAAATACACTGGGCAGGATGAACAGTGCGTGTCACTTTAGATGCATTCAGTTGAACCTGGGAAATTCAATTTGCCAGAACATCAAGCAATAATTGGAAACTGTCAGCAAGTAAAATGAATTGGGACTGAAAGCCTTCTTTCAGTTCTCTGTTGACCACAGTAAACGATGTGTACATGAGGCTGCACTAGCTTGGTATGCTGGCAGATAACTTGAGCACCAGAGGAAATTAGTTCTAATTTTCAGCCGGATTTAGAAGTGATTGTTTTGATGAAAGTGACATACAGATTTAATGGTTTTCCTGCTTCAGCAATTCTGCCATCCTGTTGCAAAGAAAACACAGAGGCGAGGTTATAGTCATTAATGTTAAAGCAGGGATTTACTTACATTCCCTTCTTCCTGTTTTACATAACTCAGATACATAAAAACTGAGAATTGGGATGATTGGCATTCAGTACAAGCTTTAACCTACTCTTGGACTGGGTTTGAGTCCGGGTCTGTTCCAAATTAGTTAATTATAGCTTTGAGCGGCAATTGGAGAATGTTCCAATTGGAATGGAGAGGATATGTGTTGGGTGGAATTGACCTAGGCTCTTTAACCTGAGCACAAATTTGTGAGGTATTGCAATGTAGCAGCTGTATTACTAGCCGAGTAACCCAGGGAATTCGTTCAAGTTCAACCATGATAGTTTGAGAATTTTGATGAAGTACTGCAGTAGTTTTGTCATTCCTTTCTGCTGCACAGCTGACTAGGAAACTCCTGTCCTTGACAACTGCCATCAGGTATATTGGAAACATATACAATCTTGTGAACAACCTGTTTGGACTCGTAATCAATGCGCCTTCTGTGGTCGTCACACTCTGAAGTGGGATTCGAACCTAGTACCTCTGGCCCAAGGTAGGGACAGTACCCACTTTTTGTTTACTCCTTCCTAGGATTCAGATATTGGTAGCGAGGCTAGAATTTTTTAACCTTCCCTAATTGCCCGTGAACCCAGTGGCTTGTTTAGACCATATTCTGAGGGTATCTAAATATTGACCATGTTACTGTGGGTCTGAAGTCACAAAGAGACCAGCCTAGGTAAGGACAGCAAATATCCTTCCCTAAAGAACATTAGTGAACCAGATGGATTTTAATAACAATTGCCTGTGGTTTCATAGTCAATATTACTTCAACCAACTTTTAAATCCATATTTGTTGATGGTATTTGAACCCAAAACCCTAGAACACTCGCCTGCACCTCTCGATAACTAGCCCAGTGACGTTACAACATTACCACAGGCTCCGCTGCACCACAAGACCTCTCTTCTCTGAATGTCAGAAACCCAAACATCAACTAGCCAGTGATTCCTGCTTGTCATTTTTTTCATCAAGCAAAGGCAAATTTTCAGCATCTTTTTAAGTAAGACTTGTCTTTATCTAGCACTTTAATATGCCTCAGAAATTACTTTCAACTGCAGCAATTATTATGTTTGCAAATAATGTAAATTTTGACAGAACAA